CGACAGGGTGAAATATTTGCAGCGCGCCACGCCATGAGTCACCCCCCCACCCCCAACCCCACCCCCTGCTCTATGGACTGTTACACCAGTTGTGTCTGCGCAATGATTAAATAACTCTAGAGAATATATTACTTCTTGCCCACTGAGCTGCTGTGAAAACTGCCGACGCACAGACTAATGAACTGTGTGTCAGCATGCAAAATGAAACAAACTAACCAGGGAAAGAAATAACTCATATTTCATGATGACTCCTCTGATTAAAATGTCCAAATGTCAAAAAAGGAGTAAAGGCTCACTCTCCGCACACGTGATAAGGAAGCAGGGTGATTTCAGTGTTGACTGACAGCCATTACAAAGAAAGGAATTTCAGTCCCAGCTCTTCGCTTGTAGGCTATTCCTCCCTCTTTCTTACTTTTCTAGCTTTTTGAGAAACACCAGCAAAGAAAACAAAAAAACGAGAGGCCCCGTTTTGCAAAAGTGAGCATCGGGGGCCAGGGGTTTTGTTCTCAATTCTTACGTTTGCAGTCGTGGCCCATCCCCCGGTAGCCGTCTTTGCATTTGCACTTGTATGAGCCCGGCGTGTTGTAGCAGGAGGCGAAGCCGCTGCAGTGGCTCCGACCTAAAGAGCACTCATCCACGTCTGAAAGATAATGGAAACATAACAACATTCAGCTACCGGGTGCCAGCGCAAAAGCAAACTTTAGACATAACAGCAGAATATCCAAGGATAATTGCTTCACATCCTCTCCAACGGCGCTCAAAGTGTATATCATACGCACTGCTAGCTAAAGCATTTCAGTGAATAACCCTTAGAGTTACAAAATCACTCGAGATGGAGATTCAAGGTCTTTAAAGAATAGGAGCAACCTTTTCCTATTTTTTGGCTTTTGTTCTGAAAAATGAATAGATATACATTGGAGATATGTTTTCCGATGTTGCCGAGATTTAAGGTTAACATTGATATATATTTCATCTGAACGTTGTTGAAGTTGTCAGTTCCTGTTTATTACATTTTGTTCCCTATTTCAACTAGTGAGTACTTGGCAAACGTAAAACAGTGAAATCAGTCATCCCACTTCATGAGACAGCCTCAAATGAGTTTTTCGTTTATCTGTATTTATTTGAAATATATTTTCAACATACTAAACAGTGGTATCTTTAAATGGGGTACTGATGAATACAGCAACATGTTAAGAAGTAGTAAAAGAGTAATATGGGAGGCTTGTGGCGCAGTGGATTAGCACGTTGGTGTTCGGATCAGGGGAGCACAGGTTCAAACCCCACTGCAGTCAGCATGTGGGTGTGTCCCTAGGCAAGACACTTCACCCCAAAATTGCTCCTGTGGGGATTGCCCACAGTATTGAGTATGTAAGTCGCTTTGGATAAAAGCAACATGTAATGTAATATAGCAACGAAAGTGAACTCTATGATCCTGCAAAATGGCTCTTTTGACTGTGTTGTATTAAATATATCATATTGTTGGATTATTATTAATGATGCATTAATAGACAAATTGTTTTAATATCTTTACAGGGTGTAAAAAACAAAACCTGCCCCACTGAAAATACCTTGGTCATAAATCACCACTGACTACACATTCATGACCTTTGTGTGTTTTATCAGTGAAAGCCTCACTGCGGCGACCTCTTGACCGTACCTATGCATTGGTATTTCCCGTTGATGTATTGCAGGTCAAAGCCTTCGTGGCACTTGCAGATGTAGCTACCGAAAGTGTTTATGCATTTCCTGAACCGAGGACACACTGCTATCCCTGCAGCACACTCATCCACATCTGCAGGAGGAGAACAACAAATGCAGGTCATTGCACAGAAGAAAATATTCAAAACAAAACATAATGTATTCATCATTTTTCACTTCAGGTCTCGGAGTTGGTCCCATAAAGTTTTAAATGCATTCAAAAACCACAATGCAGTGAAAAACTTCAAGGTTAGAAGAAAGGAGATTAAATACAAAACATCTCTGTTCATACATGGAGACTTTTTTTGACCTTCCCTGGTTAGCATTCATTTATGAACGAAGCACATTAGCTATTCTGTTCAGTGAGCAGAATACAATGCAAACTACGTTGTTTCATTATTTAAATACCTATTCTCTCTCTCTCTCTCTGTTGATCACCTTTCCCGGCATGTGGGCATTAATATTTAGAAACAGAGAGGCATTTGCTTTACAATCATTAATTTATATTCTGCACAATGCAGCTGAGGCCCCGCCGCGCTGCAGGGACTGTTGTTTGAAAGGACTTTAAAAACACAGAGACACCTGGAGCAGCTGGCAAAACAAGGAGAGAAGTAGGTGGGCGGGGCTCTCTTATCCCTTAAAGACTGCTGTTAGGCTTCTCATCAGCAGGGCGCTTAATCCCAAACTGATCCACTAGAGCTGCTTAATGGCCAACAGTTGAATTATTTAGCAACTCACAGAGTGGTGGTGAATTATCATGTTTTACAAAATACACACACGCACACATAAATTCAGCCCCTGTGTCAAAATGTGTAATAATATTGCCTACATAATGCCTGAGTGTTACATCCGGCATTGAAGACACATTTCTTTCAGAGCATCATATTAAACACTTATTCATAGTTATATACAGGATCAATCTTTGGCTAACATTAGATTTTCAATTGGGTTTTGTTTGACAACTCGTCTGATACATTAAGCAATTTCTATGAGAGGCAGCACTAAAATATATGAAGCCGTCTCACAGCGAGCCTCTGCAACAATGCAGAAACATCAATACGCTCTGTCATTAATCAGCTTTCTGTCACAGTGCAAAACAAGTCAATACTTCCTTTGGATCATCAGACATCGTCCTCAAGAGATTTCTAGCCTATAGTGCACAATGTTTGAAAATGACTAAATAAATTCTGTTTATTATACATCTGCTACCGGCTGCAGAAATTACTTTGGTGCTTCATTTTGGGTTCTTCTGCTAATTTCTCAACGTTTCATCCCGAGACATAAATCCAGAATTATATATAATAATATTATTATAGATATATTTAAATGTCACACTATAATTGGTGCTTGAGCTACTTTGCAGAGACTTTAGGTGTTACTTTATTTGATAAAATAACTGAATGTGAGATCATGCCTCATATCAAGGTAATTGATAAAGAGCAATGTGTGTGATCCCATAATATTGGGCCTGGTAATGGACAGGAAACTGTATTATTCTCAAAAGCACTTTAATGTTTAATCCTAACTACAAAGCTCACACAGGCACAGAGGGCAGCTCAGGGGTCCTTTTGTTGAAACTCACACAGGTAAACATCACTCAATAGACCATGCAGAGTGTATGCAGCCACTCTCTAAATAGTGAGCAGTGTATGTGTGTTGAATAGTGTCAGTTTATGTGTTTATAGGGTTAATTCTAAGCAGACTCTTGGTATATGCGCAGGTATGACTCATTAGACCGTGCCGAGAGTGTGCAGCCACATTGCAGTGATGTGCTTGTGTTATATATTTCAGAACGAGCGAACAACGAAATTATATTATTTATTTATAAGTCCATTTTATGTGTAAGTGTGCAACAGATGTACTTTTAAAAATATATAATTCAAGCATTACGAAGCATCTTTTCTAAAAGTTTGATAAACATCTGCCCAGGTCCCTGTGCACCTACGATAGAAAGGTGTTGACATAATGAGTGAAGACATTTGAAACTCTCCAAGTCTAAGGAAAAACCTTCATAAATATGATGAGAAACTCTCCATAAAACATCTGCTTATCTGGGAAACCAGAACAGTTCCATTTAACAGTTTTAACACCTGTGGCGGGCAACCTTTCCTTCCCCACCTCCATCATTTTTCATGATTGATGTTCGTTCTGTTTAAAAATCCGCCTCCCATCCGCCCACAGATAAGTGGGAATATAGGGCAGCATAGCAGGAAGAGTCCAGTCTGGAACAGCCTGTATTTAAACCTGACACAGGTTAACTGCCTCAACTGCCCCCTTCATCTGTGTCCTTCCCACTCGTGAAGCTGTTAATGAAGGAGGGGAGGAATGGAGGAGGGGGTGGGCTTCCCCTTATCACATTTCTGCTGTAAAAGCTGGAGGAAGTAAGTTGGATATAGTCACCATTTGGTTGACAAGGCTGGTTACATTTCTATGGTGCTAAGTTTATTTATTCATTTGTATTATATATACTATTTTGTATTTTCTTTCCCACTATGACTATGTATGTCATTCAGTATGGTATTCCTGTCATGGTATGTTTTTTCTGTATTATTTCTTGTTGGCTGTTCGGTTTTTCTTATATGTTGAAAAAGGGAAGCATGATTCCCACCCCAAAGAAGTCTGTAGTATTGCTGAGACTTGTATGCTTCTTCTCAATACAAATATTTGAAACAAATGTCCATGGTCCTTGATCAAAGCGAAACGGATGTATTGGTAAATATGTTTTGGAAGAATTTCAGCTTCGCTTGCAAAGAGGAATTATTTCCTAAATTGCCTTTTCGCTGCCAAGATTTCCTTCTCGCTCAGCCAAAACGATGGCATTCATTATCACTCTGCTAATTTAATTTCTGAGAAGAAGATATAAAAAAAAAAGGCAATAAAATGCTCGTGATGCTTTACATGGGTAGCTTATGGAAGGGAGTGGTAGCACGAGGCTCGGTTTTCAGGCCTCTGGAGATATATATAAAGTCCGCCACGTACCCACACAGGTTCTTCCATCCGGAGCCAGCTGCAGCCCCGGTGACGGGCACTGACATCGGACCTCTCCTTTCAGCACCTCGCAGCCGTACTGACAGTTGGCCATGCCACAAGTGCGAGCATCTGAAGGATACAAGGGAATCACAGCACATATTAACACATGATGGTGCCACAAGGGAGGCTTTCTTTCTTTCTTTCTTCCTCACATCCACACTCACACTTTATCCTATCCACCAGCTATAGACGGTATTAGTCGAGCTGACCCTGAGGCGCAGACAACAGAACAACACACAGTCGGCCATTATGAGATTCCTGTGCTGTGCACCTTAGCCCACGCAATCTTCCCCCACTTTCATATTTTCCTACACCTGAGGAATCCTAATCCCCCTCCATCCTATTGAAGCGTGTGTAGTGTGCGTGCTGTTGTTGAGCCGTGCAGGGGCAGATCAAACCCCCTCTAAAATAATAATATAATGGATCAGATTTTGTTCAGCCTCTTTCAATAACATCAGACCCTTAAAAGGAAATTAAAGAGTGAGCCTCATGCTGCTGCAGTCGCCACTTCAGCCGCCGCAGGCACCCAGGAGTACAGTTTGATGACGGAGGAAGGCTAGGCTGATTTAATGCTACAGCGATCTATTGATCAAAGCAGTAGCAGGGGAGAAAAGAGGAGCGGCACGGTGTTTAACACTATCAGGCTATCAGCCCACATCAACACCTGGAATTGTTTGAGATTGCCTCAAGTGGGAAAAATCCAACTTTAATACGGAGACATTTATTTTCCTCTGATAAAAAAAGAAAGAACTAGCCTTATTAAAATGAGGCACCAGGAGTCACGCTATGCTCTAATGTATGTGGGGAGAAAATAGTTAGCCTATCAGGTGGGAAACATAATTTACAGGCAGACATGTACAGGCATTACTTCTTCGAATACCTCGGGCGAGCAATAAGAACTGCACCCGAGGGTTTAAAGATTGTGTTTCCCTCATACTTTTCATTGTAGGTCTCTTAGGGTTCTTCAGAGGGGTTCTTCAGCTGCTGTAATGAAGCGGATCAACGAAGGGCTTTAATCAAAACACTCTATCAAAGGGTTGCTGTCAAAGCTACTCACACAAGTGGAAAACTGTCTTTGTTTAATAGAGAGCATATGTCATCAGGTTGCAAACTGCTGGCATTCAGATGAATACATTTGTCGTGAAAATAAACTTCACAGTATACAGGCTACAAAGCAAAAGAGAGATGGGAAAGAAAATAAGAACATATAGGTCAGGAACGAAAATATCCACATTTCAGACATCAATACCAACAGAGATGTGTGTGTTTGTGTATTGGGGGGAAAAACTCACTTCCACATGTCCCGTCAAGCATCTGCATGTAGCCGTTCTGGCAGTAGCACTTGTAGCTTCCATAAGTGTTCATACACCTGTGTTTACAGGGCCTGGGCTTCAGACCGCACTCATTCAGGTCTGCGGACACAGAGAGAGAGACAGCGTAAGTGGACAGCAGGACAGAGAGACCCTGCACAGAGGTGAAATTAGTCAGAGGGCAAAGGTGCTGAGGTCAGTCATGTCAAACCTCACCCATCCATTTATGTATGGGTTTGTCTGTCTGTGCGTGCGTTAATGTGTGTGTTTTGGAAGAGGGTGGGGGTGTCTTCGAGGAAGTGTCATGTTCTGACAAGCCTGTAACTTCCCTCCTTGATGATTTAACAGGAAGCCAGTGTCAACTATCAACCTACCCATTACCTGCAAGTGATAAAAGATGCTATTATACCCTCTGACTCACCACGACTTCACGTACTTAAAGCTGCAGCATCCTTTGATAGATGCATATAATTCCAGTGTTTTTCGTGCAGGCGTGAAAGTAAAGAAATCTCACCCACAACAGACCGTGAAAATCAAATTAGAAAATGATGCTGTCTGACTTCGGTGCAGGGAGGGCTCCTGGGAGAAGGAAATATGCCCTGAGCTCAACACCTGTCAAATGCTTATGCAAATTAAAGTCATTATACCTTCCTCACAGCACAACATTTATATGTTTCTGTCGCAGGGCGCTGGCGTTGTTTATACTCCCTCGCTGGAATGACTTACTGACACCTCTAAATGGAACAGAGACACCATTAATGTGATTAGTTACACCTGGGAACATTCTGCTATGACAAGTCAAAGTATCTTCATGTGAAGGGTTTACGCTGGCTTAATAAAATAAATATATTTATGTTAATTTATTCCCACTGTAGGTTTGACTGAAATCTGATTTTAAAGACTGTAACTAAAGTTAAGTGTCATTCACAAGATTAAAAATGTTGAAAAACAACCTAGGTAGTCACGTATGATGGATGACATATTTGACATTTTGGCAGAAAACACACAGGTGTAACTAAAAACATTAATCATAGTTTCAGTTCCCCGGTGCATTTTGCCTACCTGGGATGACTTGCTGGGACTTCACTTCTAGACATCATAAATGTTATTAGTTATACCTGTATACTTCCTGCAATAACAAGTCCATGTGTCCTTTACTTAAAATGGTTACAGCGGCTGAGATAAAGAAGGGTTATTTCTTACTATGGACTCCACTGAACACTCATTTTAAAGATTGAAATTAAAGTAAAGTAGCATTGTCAAAATTCAAATTGTAGCAAACCAACTAATAAGAACATCATAGCTCTATAGAGCAGATATTGTTTTGACATCAAATGCATTAAAGGGCGCTATTAGGCTCATTTTCAGTTTCATATAGGTATTTTGTCCTGGTAGGCTATGTTGTGATTGGTCAACCGCTTAGAGATGTCCTGCCTCTTAGACTATCGTGTACAATTTGTTGGTGCCCTGTAGCCAATAGAAAAGCGAGTGTTACATAGGGATGTCATTATCTTACGGACGTAAACAAAGGAGTCCAATGGAGGCGTTTCAGGCAGGGGGGGGAGTATGGGAGAGAAACTACCTTGGAAGGAAACTTCGGGATTTCAGCCTTTGCAGACCATAGAGAGGCGAAGTCCCTCCCTTTCCGGGGGAGCTCCATGGGACCTTATTTCGGAAAAAGTGTGTATTGAAGTCAATGGGGAGAGAAAGATTATCTTTCGATTCCGTTTGAATTGTGCCACGAATTACACATGATGTTTGTCAATTTAAAAGATAATTTTGCAAGTCAAAAAGTGAAGACACATTTTTTTTTGTGTGAAACCGCTCAATTAACTACATCTCCCGTCTCCCGACACACCAAGACGGCCGTCACGTTGGCACATTTCACTTCTTTCTTTCAGAATGAGGCGAAAAGTATTAAAAGAGGTGAAAATCACTACTCTGGGCATGTTGAGAGCTGTACATACACAACAGGGGAGTTAGTCGGTTCCGTAAGAGCCAGCATGCATGACCGGGATTCTGGGATTTGTAGTCTTTCTGCATATTTTTCATGGTCTTATATTTCAACAGTTTTACGACAAACTGTGACTTTTTTGACATGGAAATGATTTGTTAAGATTGACAAACATCATATGTGTAATTCGTGGCACAATTAAAACGGGATCGAAAGATACGTTTTCTCTCTCCATTGACTTCAATACATAATTTTTCTGAAATAAGGTCCCATGGAGGTCATCAGAAAGGGAGGGACTTCGCCTCTCTATTAACATGCACAAAAACCTGTATAACACACTACAGGAAAGGGAAAACTCCAAAAAGCATAAAAGGGCCTTTTTAATGGTGGCCATATTCAATGTAGGTGTTCCATGTAAGATCCTTGGTATCACTTTAGTTACACCTGTGTGAGAGATCTATTGGGTCTTTTTTTACATTTTTAAATATTGGATTTAAGAAGAAAACTCTAACTGAGACCAGGGCTTTAATCACATACATAACAAAAAATAGATTGATTCCTCTTTTGTCTTTTTTTCACAGCAGTCAGTTTACTACGCTGGTGAAATCAATTACATTTGATTAATTAATATCTGTACTGTAAAGAGCCATCCCTAATGTATGAGTGAGTCTCCGGACTAAAATGTTATTATTTAAACCTGTGCTTTTTCTATTAGCAAAAGTTAAAATGCCTGCTGTGAAAGAGGCTTTTATTCATTCTAGATTTCTTTTAATAAAATATTGATCGTGCTGCCATCAGCTGTGGTGGAAGTAACTAATTGCTCTCATTACTGTAATTGAGAATCTTTGTTGTATAATTGTTGAGTACACTCATGTTTCTCAATGCACTTTTCAAATAGAGAGGGATTTTAGTACAGTCAGGTGTTTTGCTGCTCTGACAGAAAGAAGAATATGTTTCATTCCATTTTTCCCCTTACCTCTGTTTCCTCCTGAAGCTATTCTTTAGATTAGGTTTTCTCAAAAGAAATAGTGTCACTACTCTTACAGAGCATCACTCACTTGAGGAGGGTAGCTATCAAATCTTACTTCTTCTTCCTTTTGCTAATATTTAGTTAAAGTTATTTTGGTAGTTTTTCCTCTGTTTGAGGCCCAAAAGGGGAAAATACAACAGGAATCCATCACAGTGGAATGATAACACATGCTCCAAGAAGTACACAAATTAAACTATAAATATCACCCCCTGTTTCTGGGATACAGTCCAAACAGATTTCAGTGCACTGTACCGCACATGAGGGGTTGCTTTCATCTTGGCCGGCCGCTTTATGAACGGCGCCGTGTTCAGCCGCGGGGACACATGCAGGGCACATTCTTAGAGTGCCACATACCTCCCACATTGAACAGATACCAAAGATTGATTTGGATGAATGACGCAGCAGATGCCCAGTTTGTATATCAGAGCCATCGTCTATTAATGGTCGCTTAAGTTAAGCCATGTTAGCTGATTCAAAAGGCGCGGCTGGAATTTGACCGTCAGCTTGTTGAATGCCACACAGTGCCACCAGGCTTAAGTAGTGCTTCGTGACTATAAACTGTTGAGGATATATAGGGGTCAGTTTGTGAATGCAGTTGTTACTTGAGGGCCGGTATAGTGAAACATTAATAGAGTTACTTCCACTCATGAGCAAGGCTAACAAGGGGCATTTAAGGAGTAGCAATATTGATTTTTCCACTATACGTGAACCTGTGTGACAAGCACGTTTAATTGTATCTGATTAAGGATAGAGTTTTCTAACATCATTTAAATGCATCAGTAGAAAAAAGTCTAGAATAAAATAACATTGTACTGTAGGTTCAATGTTTTAGTTTGCACGCAAAGAAGCTTTCTAGGCAGGTGGAAACTCACGTGTAATGTCATGGCAAAATGACTCCTGAAGATGCATTGCACAAACATAACAGGTTGTGTTTTACATAAACTGCACTGTGCTACTGCTGGTTTTTAAATCCTGTAAAGGGTTAATATGAATTATGCTTAATTCTTTATTCCAACAAACTAAGCCAAAATAAATGTTCCCTGTCCTTGTTAGACAGCAAGTTTAGATAACATTCAAATTATCAACCCTACATCTGTTCTCCCACGACATAATATCCACATCTCTTAAACCTGCAGACACATACACACATTTCAATTGTTTAATTAGTGGTGTAAACCTTATTTTCTCTCTGGATTTCACAGTAAACAACTTGCATTCTCATTCCTGCAATAACAAAAAACCATAGCAACACTTTGTCCACTGGCATGGCAGAGAAAACAGGTCTTAACTTGCCTGGTTCACTGAAAAAGAAACAGCTTAAAAATGTAAATGAGGGATTATTGAAATGGTCACATTCTCAGACAGAGGCAGCTCTGTGAGCATCAGCACATGCCAGATGCAGCCGGGGCCTCCTCGCGAAGAAAGAAACAGACAAGATGGAGCGAGGACACAGAGTGGTGGAAAAACTGAGAGATAGCAGACAGACCAGCGACTGACAGCTCGACGAGGCCTTAGGACTGAAGAAAGCTGAGCGATAGCGGAGGTGGAGAGCCCCTCTGGGGTGTTCACTGTACGGTAAATGAACTTCTGAGGCACATCTGAAGCGATGCAAAGTGGAGTGATTTATTGGGTCAACTCCATTGAGGTATGCTACATTCCTGACACGCCTCTATCACTGACAGAGAGATTAGCAGAAGGCTTTTTTCTCGGGGATATGCTTGACTCAAGGGAAGATAACACTGGGTAAAATTCGAAGCCCTTTTTTTTCTAGCAGGAGTCAAGAGAGCAGTCTCTTTTTAAAAGGAAAGGACGAGCTCTTTGTTCCGGGTGCGGGAGAGGAAAATTAGAGAGAAGAAGGGGGCAGAGCATAAAGGAAAATCATAATGGCTCTTTGCTGTTGAGAAAGGTTTCTTAGGTGACAGAAAAAGGAGGTGGTGAAGACTGTGACATGCTTGGCATTCATGCTGGCATATCTGGGAGGTGTCAAAGAAACTGGTGGCATTCACTCCTCCGCAGTTTGCACAGTGGAGCTCCATGCATGTTGCTAAGATAGGGAGCTGCTGTGGAAAGTCGATTGTGGAAATCTCACCCTCCATCACTACCCGCACCGGCTGATGGTCCACAGGACGAAAGATATGGAGGTGACTGGCCCACACTGGTGGGGTTAAATAGTCGAGTTCTTCTTCTTTAGATAAAGTAAATGGGTTAGAGGGGATGGGGGGGGAAGTGGGAGGAAAGGGGGTTTGATCCAAGATAAAGTAGTAATGGGTGAGGATAGAAGGAGACACAGAGAGAGAGAGAGAGAGAGAGAGAGAGAGAGAGAGAGATGGATTAGAAACACCTCTGACCACACCACATTCCTGGAGAGTAAAGAGGAATATTATGCAGTAAGGAGGATGTACAAGGATACACTTGTGGGAATTGGACATGAGGGACCATGGGAGAAACAGTGAAAGTGTCCCTTCTCCTCCTGCCCTCTTCTGTATTCTTATTTTTGTCCTGAGGGTGAAATAAGATCTGAGAGAATTACATTATCACACGGATTCAGAGGATCCTTTCTCAATTTGTTTCTGGAGGTTAAACAATAGACAGGAGTTACCATTCAAAAAGGCAAATCACTGCTTGACTACAAACAGCCTGGAGACTGTTTCACCGCCACCCCCCCTCCCCCTCTGTGAAGATCCATCCATCCATCGTGCAACCTTTCCTCCGGCAGTCAGCAAACAACACCTATTGTTAAGTGACTGGAAGATGATACAGCTACCTTTGACTGCTTCGCACGCTTCAAATCATTCAAGCGTCTCCCTATTGAGGGAAGCGGTAACTTAGACTGGGAGGTTTTGAAAGCATACTGCATTTCTGCCAACTCTACCCAACACTTGTCAAAAGGCCTTATTTGTAAAAAGGCTCCATTGATATTGGTATGAAACGTTTTAGTAGCGAAGAACAATAATTCACTGAGAGAATAATTTAACAAGGGCAGCGTTGTCTTATAAGAGTGGTTCTTTTTCTTGAAGACATTGTTTGGACGAAAGCTAAACCTGAACAATATCTCATGAAATTGGAAAACAGAGCAGTTACTGGAACAAGAGGCTATAGTGGCTATAGTATCGGAACCACAAATCTCCCCCAGGGACACACTCTGCATGGTTATCTTATCCGAGAGTGATACCCGTGGGACTCAATAAATGCTCGTCAAAAGCCAGAAAGTGCATCATGTGGTATAAAACAAACAAACAGGCTGTGCTGTGTGTATTGTCCGCTGTTGGTCATTTAACGGAGCGACATGTTTGCACTGAGGTAAAACGAAATTACATGAAATGATTTGCAGGAGCTCGATGATTGATCTGACTTCAATTATCACTTTATTTTATAGCATCATTATTATCGCCACCCAACGGTTAGATGAGATCATTTCTATCCATTTTATTCCAGGTCCATCGTGCTGCTCATGGAGGTTAAGGTCAAATATGACTTCATAGCCCACTTGATATTTAATGATCTTCTGAAAGAGAACAGTGATAAAACAAATACAATTTAGGGTGATTAGCTGATAATTGAGGGAAAATACACTAGACTTGCAGCTGTTAGATTATTAACAGCTGAAAGCCAGGAAGACAAACAGTGACAGAGAGCGATCGGTTTCCTAAAGTACCTTTCTACGCCTACACTGAATTAAATCAAAAATATTTTCAGAGACAGCAATGTGCCGTCGGCAAGAAAAGCAGAGAAAGGTCCAGATATGACATAATCTGTCTGAAATAGAGAGTGTCTGTCTGTATGTATGTGATGGATGTCTGTCTGTCCTTTGGTTTTCTTGCATACTTCACATCCTATTGGCATGCCAGGTAAAGCTTGCACAGAGATCTAAGAGACACATATATTAGTAAATGTATTGGCAGCCGCTCATACCATCAAGAATACATCTGGGGATTATCCATAGACATTGAATGAAGCTTTGAATTAATTGAGCTCACTTAGCATGTGCTTGGTGATGCAAATAGCATCATGGTGGGAGTATTTCTCATGACTAAAGGAAGTAGTTGAGTGGGAAGTTGTTTGGATGAGCGATTCTTGAGAAACTGCAATAGCAGAATACCACAGGCGAAGCAATCGTCCCTTTTTAAAACTGGCATTGCAATAGTGTTCTAAAAAAAGCCACAGGAACAAATTGCTCACTAACTTTAACCATAGCTCAGACTATTATACTTGTGGTATTAATTATATAGTTGCCTGACAGAAAAAGAGGGATAAGAATAAAGCAGCATCCGGAGGCGCCGCAGATATATTGCTTCTGAAGTCATTCCTCCAGGAAAGTCTTTTTAAAGCCTCTTAACAGGAGGTCAACTACACCTAATTAAATCCACCTGTATGCAATAATTATCTTATTAAAATGATTGGTTCTGAAGGGGCAGTGTGCTGCCAAACAGATTACCCCTATAATGAGTTTATTTGTGTAGTGACAGCGTGTTCATCTATCCTCACCATGCGGCATGACAGATCCAATTCTCATCAACACAGGTGAAGCACTTCCTGAAAACATGATGGATTCTCGAAGTGTTGATTATTATTTTTGACAGATGAGCGCTTGTTAATTTAATGATGAGCACAATCTGATTCAAATGATGTCACCTGCAGGTGTTAAGATTCTCTGTATCGGAAAAGCCATTAAAGTGATATAAACACTTGATCTGGCAGGTGAAGAGAGCTGGCAGTAAAACAGACATGTAGTCCTTGAAGTATAAATATCTCATAACAGTACGGGCTCATAAAACGTTGACAGAGGAAAATACGGCTTTGAATCTGAGAGTGGTGAAATCAATACAGTAGCTGCCATGCTTTGTGTTTGCTGTAAACACTCATGTTTCCTCTGAGGTTTGTTTATGCTCCTGGTGTTCCTAAGGTGTTAAACACTTTAGTTAATCAGATCGCCTCCAGGGTCACACATCTGTCCACACCCCCCAACTTAAAGTAGGGGAATGTTTGGCCATGCATGCAAAACATCTCTCTGCCAATGCAGGTTTACTTACCCTAACCCTACTAACCCTAACCCTACTAACCCTCTTAGCCTTAATTTAAATATTAAAGATAATCTTTGGGGACATAATCATGCCATAAAGACTGGTGAGTTTGCTGAAGTAAGTTTGGATACTTCAAAAGTAGGTACTGTAGGTAGGGAACTAAACTGGATACCAACCTACATCGTATTTCAAAATGTTTTCATTATTATAAGAAGAACCTCTCATGACTTTAGATATCATGAGGACCTGCTGCAATTTCTCTGTCGTTATTCTTCAGTGTGCTCAAGGTTTCTATTTAAATGGATTAAAGGTTAAGTTATTAATTATTGGCAAATGAACACAATGGTATTTCTTGGGAAAATCCCAAGCCGTGGGTTTTACTCTCCATATCTGTGGGCGGCTTGCCGGGGATGGTTGGCAGAGCTAACGAAACAAACTTTAATTGACTTTATAATATGGAAAAGAAAAGAAAAGATAAACTACCACAGTTGATGGAAATTCAAAAACAAGAGAATAAAAGAGAGATATTTAGGATTTTAAGTCTAACTATCTAGCAGTGCATGCTGGGAAGTTTGCTAATGTTCTGATAACATGCATAATGCTAGTGAACTTTCAGCAGAACAATACATCAAAACAGTAGGCTCGAAAGGCATTAACTGAATAAAACATACATTAAAGTCAGCCTTCAGGCATGTTTTGAAGTATATAAAGCACCATGCTATGATAATATTTTCTTTAAATTAATTCTGTTTCAGACAATGAAAGAAACACGTTTATCTTGCTCAAAATAAATCATGTCCTCGTCTAGAACCGCTGCTAGCATAAGCTTGAGGTTAAGGTCAAAACAGCATTACTGGATGTAAAATATAAAATTAAATCTAGTTAGAATTGTTGGTAGGGAATGGAAGGAGAGAGCCTCAAGTCCATTTTACATCCAAAAAACTGCACACTTCCATTTTTGTTGTCAAAACGTTCACCGTGCTGATGCACTCTCTTGCTCTCTGTGAATCTGTAAAGGAGGTCTCAGGTTGCTTCACCGGTGTTACCGCTGTTGACAAGTGTCGCCATTTACGGATTAGACAGCGATTGACTGTTTGTTCCGAACTTAATCTTACTTAAATCCACAGAATGCAAAACATCTCTAGTGACAGACTCAACAAGTCAGTTTAGTCGCGGTCAGACTTTTTTGGGGATATAAACATAAGAAAAACGTATTTTTGGCTGGAGGCGACCTTTAAGTTAATTATAAAGGATCAGTTTATTCCACATAATCGCTGAATGAAACAGCCCTGGGCAACTCATTTCTCTCCTCCAGTTGGCGCTGAAGATGAACGCATTGCTCCGGTGGGCCGGATATGAGACTGCTGCGAAACACTGGGCAATAGTAAACCACAAATCAATGTTTCATGGAGGGCTGCATTTAGATGAGAAGATCTAATCTGTAGTTTGAGAATAATTAAATTGGTCTCTATAGCGTGTGCCAGCTCCAAACTGAATCCAAGGTTATCTCCACCTAAATAGTCTGAAAGGGCAAGTGTGCCACTCAACGCGGAGTAAAGCGGATAGCTCAGTGATACGTCCAGAGCTTATTGGACAAATGGGGCTTCAATGGACACTTGAGAGTACAGTTTCATCTTGAAAGGGCTTGGAATTACATTTGTCAGATAAATCTGTCTGAATGTTTGGCAGCAGAGTCTATTGTAGTTGGATACGGGACGCTGATCCTTTTTCCTCTCCCCTTTGTCGCAGATTAAGACAAAGAGCAGCCGTCTGGCCGGGCAGACAGGAGCCACCTCTAGCCTCCAAACGCAGGATGAGTCATTGAAAACATACCAGAGAGGATTACGACACCTCCACCTCCTTAACACCACCTCAACCCTTGTGTTTAATTGCACACTATTCCTGTCTCAGGGCGTGAATTCCACAAGTGCTTTCAAGTTGCTTGGATCCACGTCAATTTACTTACTAACTGGGATGCTTTAACGCTTTTCAACATGTCTGATCTGTCAGTGATGAAAATGCGAAAAAAAAAGCCTCGCACACACTTTCAGGAGCATCGGGCTCACTCAGCAGAGACGAGTTATCTCAGGTCAGTAATTGAGATGCTATCTTCACAGAAAGGACGCTCCCAGGGGATCATTCAACATGGCCTCTACTTATTCCCATTTGAGCTGAATCAGCTTTTCTTTTGCTGGTGGCAGAAACCTCTTCCGCTCCGTGATAAAGTGGCATCTCTAGGAGGGATCCGGCCACAATAAACAATGATTAACCTGCAATTACTCAGGGCGCCTTTTGTTTTCATGTGGATGTCAGCATCGAGTTGTAAGGACCATGTTTTCTGACTTTCTCTGTGGTGCACGTTTCAACCTCAGTGCCCTTTGACACATAACAAATCACAGCTGTGTTTTCATCCTGTCTACAGGTTCCAGACTCACCTTGATTGCAGGTCTTTCCGGTGAAGCCTGGATGGCACTTGCACTTATTGGGTCCCACGCAGTCTCCATGCTTACAGCCGGGCTGGCACACAGCTGTTCAGGGAGGATTCAAAGAGGGAGAGACAGATCAGTGCAGCGCCTTGGCACACTACTTGTTTCAGATCAGGTTGACAAAGCACTTAATCCTACTGCTCCTTGACTTGTCTGTAAATTACCTTTTAACTCCACGATACAGCATTAAGACAGCATGAAGCCTCATTCATGAAGAAAATGCTTCTTTCTCCTTGCTTGACAGCCTTATTATCATTGACTAATGGCAGCCATTCAGAGCTAATCACATCCTTTACACCTTGTACAGAGCTGGAAAAGTTGTATCGTCCTTACTGATACTAAATAACTTCACACTGTGTGAAATAAATAGGGAGTTTGACCTTTTATACTGAGCAAAGTTTTGATTTTCCATGCTTTTAAATACAGTACATTTATATTTCTATTGGCACCCAGTTAACGAGGGTAACCTAGGCCAACACAATCCCCACCTAGACTGAAACTGGAACAATTAGAGCACCAAAACTGTAACTTCTAATGAGCGCTTCGAGTTTCCTGCAGATGGTACAAAGTGCGTGGATGGAGATATTTTGAGTTGTGATAGCTGCTGCGCATCTTCCCGCTCTGTCTCAGTGCACTGTGGGCTTGTCTGACTGTGCTTACTGCAGCTTGCTGCTAAGCATGTCTGATACACGTGGGCCTCAGCCAAGTGTTACTAATTTTCATTAAAAGCTTCATTAATTCTGTCATAATACAGCGCAATCAGAGGACTTAATTACCACTGTGCTGGAAGAGGTAGTACATATGCTTACGAACGTGTGTGTGAAGAGGTTTTGGGTGAGAGTGCTTATCACACCAGCCAGTTTGTTGTGTATCTGGAAAGGTGTGATAGTGTAGTTATAATTTACCGGTATGTAATCTGTCGTTGTGTCTGTAATGCTATACATATTACTCCAAAAACATCCTTATGTTTACATAGCCTCAACTGATAGGACTTAGCTTTTGTTTTATTAGGTTTGTCACCATTCAACTATAATGGGAAAAGCTCAAAAACTACCTCACAGATGTTTGTTAAAATGGGTGGAAACATTATAGGCTACATGAGCAGATAAGCAGACTTTCAGAAAGAAAACGGAACGGCATTTAAAAAAAAAAAAGGCAAAGGTGTGTTTTTAATTTTTCAAATACCAGAGAAGTTGAAAGATTATCCAAAATATCTATCTTGTTTATATAGTTTTAAAAAGTGTCTTAAAAGCTGTCCTCTGCCCTTTAAGTTAAGTTAAACTTTTCTGCTGACACTGCGTCTATTAGTCACACCCACATTTACATAATATGCAATATGCATATCAACTCAGCAGTTCTGCATAATTTAATGCTATTTAATGGCGTGATACGTTTGCATTGCAATGTGCAACTTTGGTTAAGATATTCACGTTTGAAGTGCCTTCTTTTATTAATGACTTTAATAAAACATGGAAATAAAGTTAAAGCTGTTTTAACACATACAGAGGGAGACCCTATAGAACCGATGAAGAATGGGCTTGATAATGCACTCTTTAAATGAAATGCACACGTTCAGAGTTGAGTTACAATCTCAGAAATATCCATTCATACCCATGCAGCTTGCAGGGCGGCAGCTCAGGTTTCTGTCTGTAACATTGTTCAAAGTGAATTCAAAGGCAGAAAGGTATGTGGTGAATCCGAGTCGATAACATCTCCAGGCTCAATGCACTTTATTTGCCTATGTAATCAAAAAGAAAGATAGCACACTTGGTAGAGCCTGTGATATGATATGATGTGAGTTTGCACACAAAGCAGCCAAAGTCCACAACTACAAATAAAAAAGTCGCCTAATTTGTTGGAGGAAAAAGAAAAGAGTGGAACTTTTCTTTGCGTAGGAGTTTATTAGACTCATTGCTGGTCAGCAGATAACATGAAATATGGTTGTGGTGTTGTTAGACGGAATTTGAGTGCTTTTTTGTCTTCCTCCTACATGGGGGAGGATTTGATTTGCAGGATCTAGCATCAGCAGGATTTGCCTCTGAGGGTATTTTTAAGCCTCGGGCCTGGCAGAAAGATCAGGGGAACGGCCCGTGTTCATTAACCACAGCAGAGGATACGGAGGGCTAAAAATGGTGGCACCAGCTGGAAGGCCAAACATAGCATGTATGACCCTCCATCTATGAACAGCATCAAAACACGCCGGGTGATGACACACTTTCACTCCCGTTTACATCAGCCGTTCCTCGGGACAGCACACTGCTGCTGGCTACAGAGGCAGAGTCTTTTGATTTATCGACTGCTAATGGGCGCCTGATGGTTAACACAAGGGGAGAGTATTCATATTTAATTGAGACCAATAATGCGTAAGAATGTTTAAACTGGTGAAATGAATGACTTAATCAAAGTGAGATGAAAAAACGATTTCTTCATCAAACGCAAGTGGCACCCTTTTGCAATCAACTGAGTAATTATCTAAGGCTGTTTGTAATCATTATTTCATTAGCCGTTGATTTTGTGTCTGTTTTTGTTTCTTTTATCCATCATTGAATTGTTTAAAAAGTTCTCCAAGGTAACATCTTAAAGCTACTTATTTGTCAGATAAAGACCCAAACCCATTTTTACAATTATATTAAACAGAGAAAAGCTGTATATCCTAACATTTTAAGATAATATTTTGCATTTTTGCTTGATAAACGACATATAATTTATTTATTTTTTAAAATATTCAGCTGATTACCTGTCCATAAGTAAATCATTTGAGGATTAATGTCAGCATACATGCTATATGGTTGACATGTAATCTGTCCGGGGTGCGTTATGCGGTGGAAATCTCATTGATTGACCTCGTAATGTCACGGGGAATATTTCATTTACCTAAGTGATGAATTATGATAGCATTGGCATTCTCCACCTCACTGATTTCTATTTATTTAGGTATGCAGAAAACCCCCCTACCACATTCAAATGCTCAGTCCCTACAGATATTACTGATATATAAAATAAAAAAACATTATGGATTTCACCTTTGAGGGTTTCATTAGTCTTCTAAGGGGTGCTGAATCTTAATGAATCATTGAATAATTTCAGTATAACTCATGTTAAGAAACGGCTTCAGGTGGAATCAGGTCTGCAGAGCTGAGGCTGTTCGCATAGATCTTATGCCTGGAGGAAGCAAGATGGCCGCCATCAAAGTGGGTGTGAGGTGTTAGTGGAGGGGTGGGCTCGGCTCTATAAATAAGTGAGCGAGCCCAGGATTCAGAGGATGTTCCCCCAGCAAAAATGTCGAGCACGATTATTTCAAGAAACATGTGGAGCTAACCTTGGGGCTGGCACCTTATCCCGGCTACTCTGTGAGTTAAGGCGAGGAGAGCTGCAAAACAAATAGCCAAACAAACAAAGGATGCGGGCAATGTTTAGTCAAGAGAGCAAAAAAAATAAACATGATGTTAGAGGTCAGAGCGTGGTCATTTCGACAAGCAAACATTCCTGCAAAAAAAAGAAAACACACACACAGTCTGGAGTTTTGGAGTCACACACATTCCCAGTTGCCTGTAGGCACGTTTTGAATGCATTTACAATTTAGTTTTTCAGATTTCTTTCTGAATAAAACCACCATGTCCTGGGATTATCTAGTATTTATGAAGAATGTGAGCTATATCCCCTATCACTCACATCTAAATGGAAGAGAGTCTCTCGCACAATTATTATTCACTCTATTTTAGAAACAATGCGTTGAAAGTCGAAAACGCTATCCATATCACTCAATGAGATCCTGGTTCCTTTAATATGAAATTAAATGCTGCAGGTACCCGACTGTGAGGAGGCAGATTTTTAATGGGCTCGGTTTCAAAGTGCTTTTAAAGCCAGAATTATGTCAAGTAATTCGCAACATGTGCCAATTATCCCTGCATAAATGCACTCAAATTTTGATGTGCAAACCTTGCCGTTTTGTTTTCACTCGGGTACCCCAAGCAGATGAAAAGGCACACTTTTAGACGATAGCTTTACAGCCCAGTGATCATGAAAGAAAGTGGAGCAGGCAAGGAAACTGCTCAGAAAATCACGATAAAGTGAATTACTTAAACGGAGATATCACTTTTCTGCTTTCAGCGCACACTTGTTAGCTCGAATTACCAAATTCAAAAGTCCTGCCTTAATCCTGGCCGTAGAATTTCTAGAAACAAAGGCGGCACTCAATCAGAAATAAATCCCGGTCTCAGTGGATTTGTAACATCCACCAGGACTGGTCTGAGGAAATTGTAATGTGTGATCCATTTAATATGGAGGTGATATTCAACCTAGTTCTTTTACAATCAGAGAATATAACTTTAAGTCTTTCTGCCAGGGTTTTTGTTTGATCAAGTCTTTTGGAAGAAGTTAATCAGAAGCAAGTCAAGCCCTTCAGGACATCAAGGTCTGCTGGTTACTGCCTTATTAATGTTTAAACCTGATCTGAGCGTTAACTTGAAAGTTTTTGTTGATTTAAAGTCCATGTTTAGTTTTCAGTTATCCAGAATTTTGTTACAACAATACCTCTGAATGTTAATATTATACGATTCTAAAACTATATTCAGTGCAATGTTTTGCCAATCTGTTTCTAACAAGCCCCCCAATATCTAAATCTGAGCATTGAAATATGTTATGCGAGGCAACTATGATGGGTATAGTAGCTTCATTATCATTAAGGTAAAGTATAGTTAAGGTTTAGCAGTAAAATCACTCGGTTAAGGTTAGAAAATGATTGTAGTTCAGGTCAAATATAATATAATACAAAAAAACATTAATTGCAGGCTTTTGAACAGACACGGCATACTGTCTCCATAACACAGTGTGCAGTTAGGATTTGTTTTAGTGTATCTGTAACATTTGAGATAATAATAATAGTCATAGTAATTACATAAATTACCATTTCACGTCCACCCCCCTCTGCTATATATGGGTGCACTACTGCCTGCATATTAAATGTTGATTTATATGAATAAAGGGAAGTATAATCATGAGTTCTTTGTTCAATTCCTTTTTTAATTTTCACAGTAAAAGCCCATCTAATATAGATACAATTAGTTTCAAATCACCAACCTCACAGATCTGATATCACCTGACATCACACGTATTAAACGCGCCTGCTGCTGCTCCCTGAGTACACTATTTAAATGCAAACAGTGGGATCAACTTGTTGATTCAACAGTTTCCATCTTCATTAAGAGAGATGAAAAGTACTTTTAGTATAATTACTGTTAGCTGTATTACACTGGAAAGGCAAATGACCAAATGCTCCCACAGGCAGTCAAATGTCCATGTTGGCAGCTGGTTACAATAAGTATCTTCAAGTGTGGCTCTGCCTGCCGGATGGCCTGTCAGGAAATTATAAGTGGAGCTTCTTCTCCTATAAATCTAAAGCTCCTCTCTCTCTTTCCCCATCTGCCTGGCTTTCTCACTTGTCTCCCTCTCCTGTCTCCCCACTCCAGCAGCAGTCGTCTCCTACTCCTTACCTCTGAACCATTTCCCTTACACCTCAGAATTTTAATTTTCTCCAACTTTTAGTCCTTTCTCTCCTTTCTCCCTGACGACTGAAGGTTGATCCATTAAGTTTCTTATTCTGTGCGAGAAGTTCTCACAAACCAATCGCTGAGAAAACTACAATCCTACCTCCAATCTAATCCCTTCTATCGCCACAAAAAACTTACCGAGACCTGAAATCTGTACTGACTGCATCCTCTCCCACACTGGCACACACTCATGATTACACTTCCTCTCATTCTCAAACCTTCCACCTCTCTCCTCTAGTCTCGAGTGAATGGATTTGAGCTGTGCAACCGGGGCAGCAGCATTTTAAAGAATTAAGGCAAGAACTCAAGAATTGATTTAACTCACAGAAGAGATTTAGTTTGGGTGAAAATAAAAAGTGGTGAAGTAAAAGTGCTCTAGCAGCTTGATACAGTATAATGCATATAAACGGAAAATATTTTTTGGGCTCAAAATGGAACATGTGGGACTCCAGAACAACAAAGAAAACTTGTTCACACAACGCTGTTTGGCTGGTCGAGGTTGTGATGCAAACATGAATTTCTAAATGTTACTCTGATTAATTATAAAGTATATGTGAGCTATGATGTATGCCCTTAGGACAAATAATGAATGTGTTGTCTTTTGGAACAGTCATTACTGTTTTCATTGGGTAAAATATGAGTACATGAATCATGTCTTGTCCCCTAAATCTAAGCTTCTTCCATAATAAAGTCCTCCCTTTTTTTTCTCTTCCCATCCAAAACCCACATCGATTAATTAATTTCCTGAGCATGGGAAGCTGTAAAGAGCCCGGTGCAGATGCACAGCCAGGTTTTGGGCACTGAGAGAGCCGACTCGTGCCAGGAATACTGCTGAGTCTGGCCCCATGTTCAAACAGACCGTATGAAATGATACAATTGAGTTGTTTGAATAAAACAGTGCTGCTTTCGCCTCAGTCATTCCAGCACAGATTGAAAAGTTCAAGTGTCAAGGTTTTCCCAACCATGAAATCAACCTATCCAACACACGATGGGAGGGAGGCGTGTGGTGCAGTGGGTTGTTGAAACCCCACTGCAGTCAGCATGTCGTTGTGTCCCTGAGACACTTCACCCCAAATTGCTCCTGTGGAGATTGCCCACAGTATTGAGTATGTAAGTCGCTTTGGATGAAAGCGTCTAACAAGTAACATGTAATGTAATACGAGTCTCAGTCTGTCCCATAAACCATTACTTGTATTAGTTTTTCTGATCTCTAGTTGAATTATACTATTTTATTTGTCCGTAAAAGAGATGAGGCGAGAAATGGATAAAAGCAGATTTTGGGTTAATCTAGCTGAGCTAAAAGGAAATACAAAATACTGAGTGCTTGAACTCTCAGTAATACTGTTTGTATTCTCTGGAACAAAAAAAGGAATCTTGCAATGCACTGCAGCACCAAGTGAAAAATGGCAGTCTGCCACTTTAACATGAAGCTGCTAAACCAAGACAATAAAGAACCTAACCTTTGGACCCAACAAGCAGTGTGTTACATATTTCCCACGGAAAACATTTAAAATACAACAAATAAACAAAAGCTTAAGGATGGTATGATGAGCTTAAAACAATGGGAACAGAATTATAATATGGTTATTGCAGCAATGAAAAACACAAAGTTAATATTTTAACAAGCTAGTAAGTAAGCCCCAAGATCCGAACATGCAGTTATGAAAGTTTTTGGTCTTTTCCACAGCAGAAACTTGACAACCTGCAACATGAACCTTTAAATAACCAATTTTTTAAAAATGTTTCCACTGGTTTGTAAATCTCAACATTTTAATATGCTTGGCTGAAAAAGCAACAGTAACTTTGAACATTGATTATAACGAGAATAGATTTGATGCACTGTGATAGGCAATAATAGAAGAAGCTCAATTTAGTTCAATTTTTTTTTGGGGTTATTGTGAATTTGAGGTGGAAAATTGTATGCCACCATAAACAGAAAATATTCCAAAACAGGAAAGAAAACATCATGAAGTAGAGANCACACACACACACACACACACACACACACACAAAACTGGAACATTGACTTTAATTACATCATATTAAATATTAGGATCAACTTCATATTATTGCTTTCAACTGACCTAATACAGTTGTGTGAAATGTGTTGACATAATACTCTTAACAGCATGACTGGATCTCTCTGTGTAATTGTGGAATAATACATTTGAAGAAAGATACAGACCCACACACACCTAACCCAGCCCTTTTGTAGCCCACCACACCCCTTTCCTCTGTCTGACCCCCATCTGTTGCCTCCCTGGGGAGCGTGTGTGTGCATCTGTGTGTGTGTGTGTGTGTGTGTGTGTGTGTGTGTGTGTGTTGTGTGTGTGAGGGTAGGAGGTCAGGGGAGGGGACAGGCAGGCGTTGGCCCCGGCTGCCCATTGATCAGCAGCTGCTGGGCTTCTCATGCTGCTGGACGGCTGGGAAGGCGACAGCAGCTGGAAGGGGAGAAGTTCAGGGGCCGGGGTCCGGGCTGGAGTCGAGGTCGGGGCCGAGGGTCTGAGCTTACAGGGTTAGAGCTGTGGCGTGTGCCGCGTTAAAACCCAGATATGAGTGAGTTTTCAGCTGAGGGGAAGGGAATCAGTGAGGGCAACAGGCAAGGGCCGGAGCTGCCAGAGAGGAGCAGCGAAGGCCTGGACTGCAGCCAGATGCTGAGCAGGGGACGGCTGCCAGGAAATAAACAATGAGGTTAGATGAAGTGGATTTTAGGGTATGTTAGGGACAAACAAGTTAGTGTCATCCAGACTCATTTGAATGCAAGAAAGTGTTTATATATTTTCCCCCTTATTATTGCAGTGCCATGATAGAGAGAGCCAGTGAATCACATAAATGGAGAGCACACTTTCTGGAAGTCCCTCATCAAACGTGTTCCCATCATCAAGTCACAGTGTGAAGAATAAATAAAGAGCTTAAGAGAAACTTTTTTTGTATCCAAGTCCCCAATACTAATCTCAAAAGGTGTAAGATGAAACATTTTAGGACATCGATTAATGTACTACACACACTTCATTTGTAGCATCTGGATAAGGTGTGTAAAGAAAAAAAGATAATGCAGGCTCAAGCGCTCACTTTTCGATAATGTATCCTCCTGAACTTATAGCAAAAAGGGTTATTTACTTATGTAGGTTTTTGTGGAGCTTTACATTTCACCAAATAAAGCACGTTTATTTCACGCAAGTGAACATGGAAAATGCAGTTTGCAATCCCTAGATCCACAGGTGGAAAACGTACTTCATATATTTACTACTCAGTCACAACTAAAACTTCTGCATTCAAAAGTAAACAACTGAAGCTTTAACACATATCGAAAGCATAACAAAAAAAGTACTCATTATGAAGAATGGCCCATTTCAGAATGATATGATATGTACTGTATATTTAGTAACTTTCCTGTGCTGCCAAGGTCCAAATATATTCAGCCTTGGAAGCAATGAACACAAAAACTTGAGAACTAGAAGTGTAATATATCAGAAAACAGTAATAACAGTACTTCAATTCACAGAGCCCACATCTAACTAATTTAAAAAAGAGATTAATGAGAGAACAGAAAAAGGGTTGGAAAGTCAGTCGCAGATGTGAAGGGGATCTTGAATGTTGAATTATTGCATTAAGGACAACTACGTTTTTTGGTTTTCGAAATCAAGGTGTATTCAGATTTTTTCTTCTGCACAGAAAACATTTGCTCTCCGTACAGTCAGGTTGGATTTCACTGTGACGTGTGCAGCACAACTGTTCCTGATGGCTGTGAGGACCATATACCCTGTGTGTTGCAGTGTGGGGTTAAACAGGAGCTGATATAAGAGCTGACAGCTGTTAACGGTGTCGGCCGTCACACATCTGCTGCGTTTGGGGTCTTTTACAGAGTGGCCACAGTTCAGGGGCAGCGGAGAGGGGGGTGGGGGGCTGCAGAGAGCAGGAGAGAAGACTTGAAGCAGGTGAAGGAGGGTCAAGAGAGATGGAGGGTAAAAACAACTTTAAAGGCTTTTTACAGCCATGCATTCCTCAGAGGGGTTAAAGTCACGGGTCAGAGCAGACCAGGGGTTCGGGTTTGCTCGAGAGCAGTGGCAAGTGGTGCATAGCTGTGAGGGTCCCTTAAATCACTCTCATGCATGCATGTGGGTGATGAAGACTGTGGGATCATTTTCATTAACACCATATAAGATGATTTTACATTCTGTTTTTGTTTTATTCATATTTTATTTACATGTATAGACTCCTACATGTGCTTGGTCACTAACGACATTATCTGCAACTTTTAGCTCATTCATTGTATCTTTTTTTTACATGTATATAGTTCATCTGCATCACTTGCACTTGCACATTGTTCTTGCAACATCATCTGCACTATTTTGTTTTACTCTGTTTCTTCCTGCACTATTTTTTATTTTTTATATATTATTGTTTTACATTACATTGCATTTAGCTGATGCTTTTATCCAAAGCTACTTACAATAAGTGCATTCGACCAACAAGATACAAAGTTGTATGTCTTGTGTATATTTATGTAGCATTTCTAGGGAAACCTGTGACTAAAGATTGTCATTTCTACATCACATGTACATATGACAATAAAGCCTTTGAATGCTTGAATCTCGAGTAAGAAAAAGCAAAAGCATGACATTGACCTGACCTTTAATCTTTGCTTCACATTGTCGTTTTTAATTATGGCCTCGAGCAAAGGAGCAAAATGTTCCCAGTATAAAGGTGATATTTTAGATGCCGGTCTTTTATTGAAGTTCTCTTTTTAAATGGGAGACTTTGGGGAAAAGTGGTGTTCTCATTGCCTCCTTATGAAAAACACTGTTTTGACCTCAATGCTCGTGGTGTGTAACCTCTGCTAACATGTCAGTCCACCTTAACTGAGAGAGGAAAACAGAGCTGCAGGAAAACTCATCATGACACAAAAGTGCCTTTACCCCAGACAGCATGAAATAAGTGATTTCTGCCTATTAAATGACTTCATTTGATACCATAATTTTAGTTAGATACACTCTCATATATAAAATAAGTAGGAATCTAGAGGAAGGAGACTGTAAGCTCTGCATAAAGAGTTGAAAACAAGGTTGAACAGCTAGCCTGGCTCTAATCAAACGGGTAAAATCTGCCAACCGTCACCTCCTAATCTTACTGATTAATATGCTGTGTCTTGTTTGTTCAAACCTCAAAGTGTCAAAATGTCAAGTTTTACACAGGGTTATGTGCCAGACTTTTTCTTGGCTGACAGCAGTGAAGGCCAGGCTCTCTGTTTCTGTCTTTATACTCAAACTAAACTAACACTCTCCTGCCGGTAGCTTCATATTTACCAAACAGACTGACTGTGGGATCAATGTTCTCATCAAACTCTTTAAAGAAAGTGAATAAGCTTATTTCGAAAAATGTTGAACAAGTAATTTACTGACACCAAAGTACTCTTGTTCCTGCAAACATTCAACTATGTTTCTATCAATCCTAGATACATGGACAATGAAATGCTTGATAATACATTTGTAGAAAATAAGGTGGAAGTAGTGGAGTACAAATACTTCGTTACTGTCTTAAGTACATCTTTCTGGTATCAGTACTTTACGCCACTACTTATTTTCCTGACGACTTTTTACTATTTACTATTTTGAACACAAATACCTGTACTTTCTACTTCTTACATTTTCCAAACAAGCTGGTTACTTTAGTCTGAATGTGTGTTTGGTGGCGTGATCATTATTATTTAGAGTCATTGCGTGCCTATTGATTTGAACACGATCCGTGTATCCATCATTTCCTGGTCTTCTCTAAAGAAGAGGGACCAATGAAAACGTTGTCATGTTGCCGTTGTTCACCATGGAAACATTCATTAGCTAACAATGACATTATTGTTCTATTAATATAAAGCGATGTAGGTACTTCTTTAAAACAAGCTGGTAAGTATGGTACTTTTTACTTAGTACGTTTTGGAAGCCTCTTTACTTTGCTGAGTAAGAAGTTTAGTCAGTTACTTTCTACTTTTACCGGATATTTTAAACGCGGTATCTGTACTGTCTACCTTGAGTAAAGGATGGTGTACTTTACCATGCTCTGTTTAATACTGACAGTGACAGTTGTGTAAGCAGGCATTTAACATGCATGCTAGAGCTAGTGTATCTCTTACGATTTGGTTAGGAGTTTAGTGATCGGTAAAGAAGGAGAAAAGAACAAATAAATGACTTTAGTTGAATATTTTATAACTAAATATCTGTACGATCGTTTTGTGGATTTTCCAAGTACAGTTTCAATTTATTGTGTGGAATAGAAGGATAAGTAGTGGAGATATAATTATTATTATTGAGACGGATTACTTACCTGCATTTCCAACACAGATAATAAGAAAGTGAATAAGACTTATTTCGAAAAATGTTGAACAGTAACTGATGTGCTGTACATTTTGAGAGTTCTGTAACCAACATTTAGACTGAAAACGGTCAACATTTTGCCTCTTTAAAACATTCCATTTTCAATGTCTGGTTCTAGCATATTATTTAAGTTTTTATTTAAATGGATGGCCTTGTTTTTACAGGCTCTTAGATATTCTTTTAAGGTTGAACTTGGTGATATTTACATAATTTGTATATCTTGGTTGAGGATTTTAGAATCTCAGGTGTTGAGACAATTTAAAAACCATGCAACTTTTTTTATTTGTATATATAAAAGAGGCTCAAATTGGAACTCTAATGTGGAAAAGTGTTACTCGTAGTACCGGCAGAGAATGTACCTTATTTTTTTGTTCCACCATGTATGGACACAGCTCAAATCGTTCCGTGTTCTGGGTTCAGTCATCGCCGCTCTCATCACGTTTCCAGCTTCAGCAGACAGCTGTTTTCAGTAACACATAAACTTGATGTATGCACCAGCCCAGCACCAAACGTCAGAACAGATGGAAGTTAGCTGGTGGACCAATTGAGCATGTTAGCATTTCAATAGAAGAGTATTGGGATGACAATCATCAGGTGGCCCTCGAACATGCGTCGAATGAAATACATGCTAATAGCTGCTGAGTCTCATAAAGGGGTAATGATTTTCTAACACATTTACATCCACTGGAACTTTGTTGAACTCCCAGGCCCAACCTATAATGCAGGAAACTCTACCCCGATAAGGCTCGAAGAGTCGATAACTATGTGATTCAAGCACTTTAAGGAGTTGGTTTGCGAGATTTGTGATATATACAACAAAGCCCTCAGGAGATGCGCGCGCAATTTGGAGGACATGTTCAAACTGGACAGTCTCCATGAAGTAAGATCGATAGAACACTCGCGTGTCATGTCTCGCCACCCGCTTCCTCTTTCTTCAGAGCCCTTCATAGCATACTCACAGCAAGACGGGCCAAAACTACTTGGCAACGGAAAGATGTTACAAGTCACGGAGACAAAATGAAAAGCGCAAACTAAACACTAA